AGAATGTGCCCTTTGGAGATGTAAATTATTATATATGCCTGAGTAGGTTTTTTTGTTTCTGTGTTTTTTAAAACGCTAAAGTGGATAGAGAAAAATACTGTTAACTGATGGTACATGGAGGGGATTATAATCAATGTAATGAAACAAGGTATATGATTTGTTGACTGTAAAACTGATGATATGCCTTATAAACTTTCACTCAATCCACAATAAAAACCTTAAAAAAAAAAATTGCCATATATTCTACCTTTATACTATGCCATGTACTGGAGTCCTGGTGTGGGGCTGTAGGCTAATGCGCTGGACTGCTAAGTCAATTTGAACCACAAGGTTGCCGGTTCAAGTTCACCAGCTGCTCCTTGGAAACCCTGTACAGGGTAGCTATGGGTTGGAACTGACTATATAAGCACATATGTTATTGTTAAGTGATGTCAAGTAGGTTCCAACTTATAGTGACCCTGTAGAGGGTCTCTGAGACTTTAAATCTTCGCGGAAGCAGAAAGCTACATCTTTCTCCTGCAAAGTGGCTGGCGTGCTTGAACCACAGAGCTTGTGGTTCACAGTCCAGGGCTTATTGTGTGGAACCACCTCGCTCCCCATACAAGCACATAAAGCTATAATGAAAATGAATTGTAATGTACTTCACAAAGTGCCTGAAACATAGAAAGTGCCTAAAGAGCTCTGGTAACATAGTGGCTACGAATCTCACAGTCAGCAGTTCGAAACTACCAGCGGTTCTGCGGGAGAAAGATGAGGCTTTCTGCTCCAGTAAAGATTCACAGGCTTGGAAACCCTATGCAGGGTCCCTATGACTTGGAACTGACTCCATGGCACATAACCACCACCACCACCACCAAGGAATGGTACTTGTTATCCACACTGGCACCCCCTACAGGCCTGACTTCTGACTTCACCCAATAAATCCCAGCTCTCTGTAAAGCCTACCCATCCTAAAGTCTGAGCTCATGGTCTCTGCTGACTCAATCTCTCGGACAACTGTCACTCTCCTTTGCCGTGACTGTCCCACATGCACACATTTTCTCCTCCACTACCCTGGGGATAGAAACCGTGCCTGCCTGATCCTTCTCAATCTCCATCCTTGGTGGATAGCCAGCACCCAGGACCTCAGGGACCATATGGTTTCCAGGCAAAACTGGCAGAATGGGGATGTGCTCGTGGGGCAGGGACAATGGGACTCAGACTCCTGGTCCAGGGCTCAGGTCAGGGGTCAAGTGCTCATACCGGAGGAAGCGGTTGAGGTCCCCATGCCGCATGTATTCAAAGACCATGAGCAGCGGACGGCCCTCAGTGCAGACTCCGAAGAAGCGCACGATGTGCTGGTGTTGCAGCATGGTGAGCAGTTCGGCCTCGCGCTGGAAGTCCTGCCGGGCACTCTCTGATACCTCCTTCAGTGCCTGGACAGCCGGGCAAGGGAGGGACTATGTCCACCCACATCCACCCACATCCAAGGTAACCCACCTGACCCTCAGATACTAGCCACACCAGAGCCCAGCATCCCAGCCCTAGGCCAGGCACTATGTCCTGGGTGCATCCATTCTCACCTTGACAGCCACCAGCATCTTGTCCTGCTCAGGTAGCAAGTTGTGGCACTCTGCAAGAAAGACCTTCCCAAAGGCACCCTCGCCCAGCTCCCACTTGAGTACAATGTCCCGGCGTTTGATGTGATGGACACCTGGGGACAGGGTTGTGGGATCAGAGGGGAGCCATAGGAGGAACAGGGTAGGGGCAAAGGCAGGAGTGTCTAGGAGCCCTCCCTCCCCCTGCACTGCATACCGAAATCTAACCAAGGGAGTAGATGGGGACAAAATTCCAACCTCCACTCCTTCACCAAGCCCTATGTGTTGGTAAGGATGCAGATGCCCAGAAAAGACATGATCTGAGCTTACTGTGGCCCAGATGTCAGGCTGATCTCAGCCTGAGGAGGATGTACTGGGAAAGGTGGAGGGACAGGAGAGTTATTGTTCAAGACCAGGGTGGGCAATGGCTATAGCTCAGGGGCTTCTCCACATACACACACGTACACACGCGTGCATATGCACACACATGTACACACATGGGATCACCCCACCCTTGACCCAGCACAACCCCTCACAGGCATCACTGAAGTATTGTGGGTTCTCGATGATGTGACCTTGAAGCCCAGAGCCTTTGCCCTCAGTGGGAGACAGGGAGCTGCCACCCAGCGTCATGAAATGCAGGGACATGGCCAGCCCATCCTCTGGAGCCAGTATAGCAGGACCTAAGAAAGAGACATAGCCATGCCCACAGTCACAGGCCAGGCACATACCCTGGCCCCTGCCCATCCTGACAGGTTGTAGATGTGGCAGGCGACCCCCACCTTGTAGGCTGCAGGGCAGGAATGGAGGAGCTAGGGAACGAGACAGCAGCCAGGGGGTGGGGAGCTACTATGGCTTCTCTGTCTGGCTCCTGTCCAACCCCGGGCCCCACAGGCACCAAAGAACTCCCCCACTGCCCCCCCTCGCAGAACCCAGACCTCCCAGACCCACTTAGTGTTTGACTACAATCCAGCCACCAATTAGCAGCTGCTCTCTGAAACTGCCCCCAGCACCAAGTCCCGACACACACTCACAAGCCCCACAGCCAGGCCCCATAGAGACCCCAAACGCATGCTCACAGGGCCCCCTACCCCATTCAGAGGACAGCGTCAGGAAGAGGCAGGAGAAAACCAAGTCAGTAGGACAGTCAGACAGACAGCCCCTCACTCACGGTTGATCCCAAACTTGTTTCTCCGTCCGCATTTGTTGAGAACAAGGAGCAGTGTAGAAAGGAAGAGGCAGGCAAAGACAGCTAGGCCCACTGCCACGGAGACCTGGGGGTGGGGGTTAGAGCTAGGGAGTTCCCTGAACTCTCAGAGCTCGAAGGTAGCAAACCACTTCTCCATCCCACATAGGGGCCTACAGACCTGCCCTTCTCCCCAGGGGACCCAGCCATGGCTGTGGGGGTAGCTGACTGTGCTCAGGCCAGATTGGTACTCTGTGTGCACTGACCAGATATGGCATGCAGACAACCCTCTAGCCTGTAACCTAGCCTCCTAAATCCCAAATTCTGCACAGACTTCCACTTCCCAAGCTTACCCCAAAAGGTGCGTCATCCTTCTTCTCCACTGGGTCTTTTGATGTGCTGTTTGTATCTGTGGAGACAAAGTCCATAGGATTGACCTGGGTACACACTGTGCCTCCTCCAGCAACTCTCCCATCCCAGCCCCAGCATCAGGTGTACCCTCTACCCCAGCCTGGGCTCCCACCGCCCCCTCTCCCCCCCACCAGGCTACTCACCCGCTGGTGAGAAGGAGACTGCAGCAGGTGGGAGGAGAGAAAGTGGTCAGATGAGGGAGGGCAGCAGTGAATCCCTTGCCCCTGGGACTCATCCCTTCATTGGGTTTGAGTGGATTGGGAGGTGGGGAACTCTGGGCCTCAAGAGAGAAGATACATTGGCTCTTTTCCAGTTGGGTGCTGGATGCCCTGGTGTGGGGCTCTCTCTTCATCCAGCCCAAGTGAATAGAATAGCTCAAAGGTTCAGGAGGCCCTGGGATTTGAGCAAGGGAGCAAGCACAGAGCCCAACACCAAAACTGGACCCTTCAGACACCAGAACTCCAGGCCCCTCTGTGTCCCTGGACCAGGCACATCAACTTCTGGGGTTAGGGTAACAGTAGGAAGTGGGCCAAGCCTCCCTAAACACCTGGATCTATTTCCTAAGTGGAGGAGGGAGTGGGGCCAGGGTTTGGGATGACCCTCGCACCAGGGATGGGATCCTCGGGGTTGAACTCAAATGGGTTGTCCATGAAAGCAGCCATGATGGAGGCAGCTGCCCGACCAGAGGGATTGGTGGCCAGCAATGTGTAGTTGCCGTTGTTGACATGGGTGGGCTGGTTGAGGCGCAGGCAGCCATGTTGCATCGTCTCATTGGCCGCTGTCTCCAGGAACTCAGTGAAGATGAAGCTGGTCTCATTGAGCACGGAGCCATTGAAGAGCCAACGCAGAGAGGGCGCCGGCTGCCCATCCACCGAAAAGGGGATACACCAGTGGTGCAGCTCCACCGCTGAGTGCAACTGCACACTGGCAGGGACTGTGGGCCAGACAGAACAACAGTGAAGAGTCAGGGGGCAGCTGGAGTGACAATGCCAGGGCCAAGGGGTAAAGCAAGAAGTCACAGGCTGGGCCTACAAGAAATTGGTCAGCGGGCCCTAAGACATTCATAAGGAAAAACCATTTTGAAGAAAGTTGACAGTAAATCTTACATAAACTCAGAGACAGACCTGTGATATTCACAGGCTGAAAGAACTCTTAGTGGTAAGTGGAAAATAAACTGTAACAGGCCTAAAGAAATGGACAAAAGGTCATTGAGTCTTTAGATATGGAATCTAGAAAAATTAAGTGTAATCAAGTTCAAGAAGGTGATGTAGGGGGCCTTAAAATGAAGCAAACAAAAATACACAGTTTCAAAAGAAACATTTTGAAAAAGACACAGGTTTGAAATAGGCTCAGATCTGGCTGATAACATTTTGAGAACTAAGGTACACCTGGCCCAACTCATGGTATTTTCAATCACCTTAGTTTATGTGAAAGCTAAATATAAATAAGGAGGACGCAAAAAGAATTGATGCATTTAATATTATGGTGCTGTTGAAGAATATTCAAAGTACCATAACAAACCTGTCTTTGAAGGAGTAGAGACAGCATGTCCGTTAGAAGAGAAGATGTCAAGATTTCATGCACATAGTTTGGACATGTTATCAGGAGAGATAAGTTCTTGGAAAAGGACATCATGCTTGGTAAAGTAGAGGGTCAGGGAAAAAGAGAACAACACCCATGAGATGGAGGGGCATGGTGGCTACAACAATGGGCTCAAACATAACGAAACTGTGAGGATGGCTCGGGACCAGGCAGTGTTTTATTTTGTTGTGCATTGGGTCACTATGAGTCAGAGCCAACTTGATGGCACCTACCAACAACATTAACAATATATATACACATAGGAAGATGATTCAAAAAGGTCACGGAAAATGGAATGAAGATAATACAATTTTTTCATGAACTTCTTGAATGAAGCCCCCTCATATACTGTACGTTGTTACGTGCCATTGAGTCAGTTCTGACTCATAGCGACCTTGTATAGGGTTTCTGAGGAGCACCTGGTGGTTTTGAAGTGCCAACTTTGTGGTTAGTAGTCCAGCGTCACACTTGTTGTTAGGTGCCATCGAGTCGGTATTGACCCATAGCGACCTTATGCACAGCAGAATGAAACACTGCCTGATCCTAGGCCAACCTTACTATTGTTGCCACGCTTGAGTCCAACAACAGTGCCACACTAGGACTCCCATATATGCTGTATACTATAATTCAGTTCCATCCAGTAGTCATATAATGGAATACTATTCCATCATGAATTGAATTGAATGTTACTCGTGACAAAATGGTTGAATCTTAAAACATAGTATTCAATGCTTGCTTTGGCAGCACACATCCTGAAATTGTGAACAATATAAAGAAGATCAGTGTGGCTCCTGCACAAGAATGACATGCAAAATTATGACATGTTCCATATTAAAAATAAAATATAAACAAATTTTAAAGAAAATAATTGAGCAAAAGAAACTAGATAAAAAATAATTACATGTAGTATGAAATGTGGTTACAAATCAGGCTGCGAACCTCAGGGTCAGCAGTTTGAAACTACCAGATGTTCCTCGGGAGAAAGATGAGGCTTTCTGCTCCGTAAAGATTTACAGCCTCGGAAACCCTATGCAGGGTCGCTATGGATCGGAACCAACTCCACGACACCACCACCACCACCACCACCACCAATACACAGAAACAGGTAACACTAAACTCTAGTGATAAGGAAGTATGTATGTATAGATTTATTTTTTAAAGTAAGGGGAAAGAATCATCATAGAAGTCAGGATGGGGGTAGAAGTGAGAAGATGGGGTGTGAATGGAGAGGGTCAGGAGAGGTCTTCTGAAATACTGCTAACAATAATTATTGCTTAAAGTGTGTATGTCTTATGCATATTTCCATGTGCATTACATTTCACAACAAAAGAACAATAATTATATGAAGGAGAGGATTTAATATTACTTATGGGAAGACCTAAAGAAATGAAGCTTCATGCTTAAAGAGGTACTTGGGAGGCAAATTTCTTCTTTTAAAACTAGGATTTAGGGCAAAGGACCTCAGGAAGAGCAGCATGAGGAAGTACTATAGGAGCAATGAGAATGCTGGGCAGCTGGTGTTTAGGGCCTCAGGTAGCAAGATTGGGCAAGGGGCCAGAAAGAAATCCATCTGCATCCCTCTGGCCTTGACAAGCCCCCAGGACTTACCCTGAAGGATCAGGTTTTCATGGGAATCTGGAAACAGCTGGGAAGGAGCAGCTGTGGAGATACGCATCCCACCCCTTTCCTTCAGCCCCCAACCCTCACATCCTCTTTTCAGAGAAAGAGGGATTGGGGGGTGGGGGTGGCGTGGATGCTAGAGCAGTCATGGGAGACTCACAGGAGACGTTGACCTGGACAGAGAATTCCTTCCGGCCCACATCATTCTCCGCCCAGCACGTCACATTCTTCCTGTTGAGGTCAGTGGTGACATTGACCAGGGTCAGCCACAGAGATGACAGATCCTCAGATTTCTGGGTCAAGGGAGAAAGAAAGAAGTCAGAAAGAGATCCAACCAACTTGGGGCTGAAGTCAGGGGGCTGGTACTGATGTCTGTGGTGGACCCCTCTGACTCCAGATGGAAAGGAGAGGTGGGTGAGGGTGAGAGGAGGAGAGGGAGAAGAGTCTGTGGGAGAAAATATAGCAGAGAATGGCCCTTCTTCTTTAGAACTAATTTGTACACTGACTCCTGGACCATTATTTCAATAACCTCTAAATAGGCACCAAATCATTCAAATCTAAACCCAAACCACCCATCTGAGCCGCTAAGTAGACAGCACAAATCCCAAGGACCAAATGCATACACAGCTCATTTGGGAACCAAATAGGCCCTCATTACTTAATTATTCCATGTTTACACATAGTTCTAACAAACTTAGTCTCAGTTCAAGGGAGATCAGAAATAAGAAGATGGTTCTGGTACAGGGTAATGTAACAGTTACAAGTAAAGCCACAGCATCTCCTCCTTTTGGCAAATAAAGATAGTGAATGAGGTGAGAGAGGCAAAGTGATTTGATTCTGAAGCATCATCAAAAGATCGAATCAGGTTCAAGATTCTCTTGCTAAGAAGCCATGGACATGTGTAACAATTATATGACCTTAGGAAAATTCGTAATCTTGCTGAATCATGGTTTTCTTGTTTTGTAAGCTGAGGAAGTGGACATTTTATATCTTTTGACATTTTAGGAAGCTGCTTTCATAAAATGACAAAAATAAGTGAAAGTGGTGTACACATCTCATTTACCTAGAGATGCCATAAATGTGGAACTCCTTTAATAAATAAATGCGTAAGGAGGTGAGGCATCCTTGGGCTTCCACTGGAATACATGAGTTCAAAGATTCCAAAAGAGCTTTCCAGCCTCTTCAGCAAGTTCTGGGTTCTAGACACATGGTGGGTTCACCACTTCCCTCAAGAGGAAGCCAAGTTCTGCCCTATTCTCCTCTTGATTGTCCCCGCTCCAAATCACCCTGGAACCTGGAGTACCAATAACTTCTCCCCTTGAGCTTCTCTGACACTCTTCACTTTCCTAACTGAGGGTGTTCAATCCTCCTTCCCTTCCATTTAACCCAGTTAGTGTAGAACTTTTATAAATTTCTAGAAAACAGATGCTAACAAACATATGAATCCCAAAATTTCCCATACAGGTAACTGATCTAAGGTGTCTCCATGGATGGAAATGGCTAACCTCGTGTCTCAGCCTTGCTTAGTTTCTGTTATTCCACCAGGCAACTTTGATCTCTGGAAGAAGAGGGACCACTCAGTGACTTGGTGACCAAGGTTCCCTCCACCATGTCTGGGCCCCAGTGGTCTCCCCTACGGAGTCCCCTGACCCTTTGTCAGAGTTCCAATAGTTTTCTACATTGTAGTTCCAGGGCTCCCCCTGCAACTCTACTTACTGATCCCCCTCGCAAAGTGAGGGTCTCCAAACTGAGACCCCCCAGTCACTGGTCCAGTTCCCCCTCGAGGCTGGACCCTGTGTGATCTCTTGTAATCCAGTTGGAATCAGCTTTTTAGGTAGATCCAACCTAATTTTAGCCCCTTTTGACCTTGTCATCAATGTCTCCAAGTCTTAGCCATGGCTACTCCCAGCTGCCTGTCACTAACCTGGGGACCAAGGGCAAGGTCTGGGCAGGTGCCCAGAGACATGTCTGGATAATAGAGTTAGAGGCTAGAGGATGTCCAGAGGCAGGCAGGACATCAGAAGCCCATCATGTCCACCTCCTCCTTAGCTTATAGATAAGAAAATCAAAGTGCAGGCCCATCAAGGGATTTTTCTGAAAGTCACTTTGAGAATTAATTAGTGAGAGAGCTGGAACCAGAGCCTCTGCCTCCTCCCTCAGCACACATCTAAGAGGATGCTACTTCCAGAATCTCCAGGAAACTACCTGAAAGATCCCCAAGAAGTCCCCCAGATGTAGGAGCAGCAAGTACCACCACACCACCCCCAGTCTCGGTTTCCTTCTCTAGAAAAGGGGTAAGTGGGCCGATGGTCTGTTGGGTCCCTCTCACATCATGTGAGGACTCTTATAGCCAGCATTGCTCCCCAGAAAGGAGACCTGGTTAAGTCCTGGTGGGTCTGTGAACTCTAGGGGGTCCCTGCTAGGTCAGCACCCACCTGAGAGTGTATGTGTACTCTGCGCTGTCCCACAGCAGAAGCCCGAGTCTTGTGACACTTTCTCTGTGAGTCTTATTTGTTTTCTCTCATTCCCCCACAGTATGTCTTTCTTTCCCTTCTTTGCCCCTTTGGGCCCTGCTGGGCCTCTCATGCAGGAAGGGGTTCCTTACCATCACTACGGCTGACTCCTCCAGCTCCGGGAGGATCCAGTCAGCTTGCTCCAGCTCCTGACCCTCCACCTGGCATTGTAGTAACACGCTGTCTCCCACAGCCACAGAATCATTGGAAGTCAGGACCTTCAGCATGGGCAGGTCTGGTCATGCAAGATGCACAAGGGGTGTTAGAGCTAGTAGTTGCAGTATCTTAGTCCCAGATAATACTCCTTTCCCTGCTCTCCTCAGTGACCCTGAGCCCAGACAATGCCCACCCCTCAACCTTTTGATATTGCTGCTGCTTTTGAGTTGATTCTGACTCATGTAGACCCTATAGCACAGAATAGAACTGCCCCATAGGATTTCCAACCACGGCTGTGGTCTTTATGGAAGCAGACTGCCATATCTTTCTCCCATGGAGTGGCTGGTAATTTTAAATGACTAGCAATCAAGTACTTAAAACTTGGTGCCACCGGGACTCCTGTCAGCTCTTCCAGCCCTTCCAATGCTCTGTTATCCAGTTCCCCTCAGTGCTTTTTTCCCAAGCCCTGCACAATGCACACTATCCCTGGCAATGCCCTGTCCCCAGGCAAGCTCCCTTCCCCAGCTCCCCCTAGCACCATTCCCAGCACCTACTGCAGCTGGTGTTGGGCATGAGGGCAAGGGGCGTCTGCCCGGAACACTGTAGCTTCTGCTCAGCAACTCCGCCCAGTCCCTCCTTCTCCCAGCGCTGCAGCCATCGGAGGGCACAGGAACAGTTCAGAGGGTTCCCCGACAGGTCCCTGATGGGTGTGGGAAACAAGAGAGTCTGGGAAGAGGCAGGTGTTGGGCCCAAGGAACCACAGAGGATAAGAGGGAGTGCCATTAGACCACAGAGACAAAAGTCTAGAAGTGACGGAGTTAGGACAAGGAGAACAGGTCCCCTTCTTGGATCCCAGTAACAAGATGTTACTAAAAGATATAGAATGCAATGGAATATTACCGAGCCATCAAGAGGAAGGAAGCCCTAGATATACAGGCTGAATAGGTATGGGAGGAAGAGTGGACAGATACCCACAAATATAAAGGGTTTGAAAGAGGATACTTGTACATGGTATTTACCTTTGCAGCAAACACAACTATAAATGGGGTGGAGCATGTTATTAAGTGGAGTTGAATTGGTTCTGACTCATAATGACACTGTATAGGATTTCCAAGGAGTGACTAGTATGTTTGAACCACCAACCTTATGATTAGCAGTCCAGTGTTTATCCTATAACGCCACACCAGCAGACAGTGGGCAAAATGATGAAAACTTCTTAGATATTATCAAACTTCTTAAGACAATGAGTTGCTGGGCCTGGGGGCTCAGGACCATAATCTTAAGCAACACCACATTCAATAGGCATGTTTGTTTTGTTAAGTGCTATTGAGTTGGTTCTGACCCATAGTGACCCTGTATAGGGTTTCGGAGAAGTGACTGGTGAGCTTGAACCACCGACCTTGTAGTTCAAACCAACCTTGCAGTCCAGTGCATTAACCCACAGCGCCACACCACAAAGACAATATTTTACATCCTACTTTGGTGGGTAGTGTCTTAAAAGCTTATGAGTGTCACTCAAGAGACATCAAGGCAAGTGGCCGGGTCCCCTCAGGGCAAACCCCCTTCCAAGACTAAGTAAGACTCGATGGGAATACACGCTCTGATTGGTGACCACGTTCGTCACTGATAAGGGGAAGTGAGGAAAAAACAGCAATGAAGTTGCGAGCTAAGCCCTACAATGTTCAATAGACTCCTGTGAACCCGGGTAGAGACCTGGTTGGCCAGCAGTGTGTCAAGACCTGGGGACTCTTGAGCCCAGAGTCAGTGACATAGCCACAGAGGACTAGAGTGGAGAGTGAAGTGTCTAGCTGATAAGAAGAGAGGGCATATGCATAAGAACACCCACACTTGCAGATAATACCCACCTGACCTGGCTTCAATGACTGGATGATCAGAGCTCAACT